CACAGTTCAGGCCGGCCGGGCCGGCGTCATCGCAGCCGCAGCCGGGATCTCAAATGCAGTCCCAAACAGAAAAACGTAAGTACTAAGTATAATTGTAAAATAACCTGTTTTTTTCCGCGTACATTGTAGACGCGTTCGTTTTGGACGTTCACGCGCTGTAAGCGTTTTTATTCTTAATGAATTAATAATTATTTGTTTTCTAACAAGACGCTGGTAGAAAAGCCGCAAATCCCGCGTTCGCGGTGGACGCGGTGGACGCGGAGGACGAGGTGGACGCGGAGGACGCGATGGAATAAACTTCATCATTTGTTATTAATATTATATGTATATGGTATATACAAAAATTAATTTAGAAAAACTATCTTTCAATGCCTGCGCACAGGCATTGTCATTTCTTGATTGCTATTTGTATACTGCATGAATAAAAATGTGTACATGTTCTTACATAGCCATCAATTTGTGCACTAAATATCGTCAATATCTAATTAGTTAACAGCACACGCATCACAGCCTTAATCTATTCGCTTTATTTACATTTAATATGGACGATCAATTTTGCCTTTTTTTTACATAACTAGACATATTAAATTCTCTACATATTTAATAATAAGATCAGTCAAGTTTAGATAAATAAAATTTTACTATGCAATAATAATTGTCTACAATATAAGGCAACATTATTATACCAGTATTTTAAATTACAAAAAGACAGTTAAATAATATTGATTTTCCTTAATTTCTTTAGTGTCCTCTTCTTATCTTTAAGCATTTTTTTCTTTTCCGCTGTTAATTTCTTATCACTTGTGTGCTTTTTTGTAAGAGGTCCTCCAGTGTCCGAAGAGGCGCAACTTTCTAGACTAGACCAGCCTTGCTACCTTTTCCACCTCCATAAAGAAATAAGTCATTCATAAAAATTGTAATAATGAAACTTGAGAAAATCAAGATTTTTTGTGTTGAGATAAGACGTTACCTGTGCGTGTATCTCGGTCATCATTCTCACTCGTTCTGAATATTCGTCGAGACTTTCTAAAGGCAACTTGCCAGCTTTCTCGTTTTAAACAGATTCCGGATTTGGCACTATCAGTAGACATTTTACGATCAAAACAATGCAAAAGAGAGAAACATAAGGATAAGCAAGCATTTATGATCCGTTTATGATCCCAAGATCCGGTTTCCAATCCTTCTTCAAAGTGTTAACGCATATTTCGCCATTCTTTGCTACATTAAGATGAAACATTTTTTTTAGGAAGTAAGGCTTCGGCGGTCCCTGTGAAAAGTTCTTTCCAAGAACTAATTTTACTCTAAAAAAACCACCGGCATATGGAGTCCCCGCTGTTGGAAAAAAATATCAATTTTTCATTATTTCAACATCAATCGAGGCTCGTAGTGTAGGTAACTTGTATGCGGAGAGATGTGTATGTACATCACGTACGTGTACATACACTTTTATTTTTGTTAAATAATCAGTTATAACAATTATGTAATGTATTAATCTACTAAAGTCTACTAAAAAAAATAAATGTATGTGTGTGGGTGCGTGCGTGCGTGTGTGTGTGTGTGTGTGTGGTGGTGCGCGTGCGTGCGTGCGTGCGCGTGCGCGTGTGCGTGTGTGTGGGTGCGTGCGTGCATGCGTGCGTGCGTGCGTGCGTGCGTGCGTGTGCGTGTCGTGTAACGTAATGAATGTACACACACACTCACATACACGTGCGCACGCGCGCGCGCACGCATATTCTTTTCTCACGAATCTTTTGGAATTTTTCTTATACTTTCATATATATAAAAGTACTACGTACATATATATAATAATTTTTCGACTTTTACGTTCTATACTACTGTCAAAATATGATTTAAATCCAAGATATTAGAGATAATCAATTTAAGAATTTGTTTTTATTTTTTGCCATTTTAGCTGAAATATCAAAAACTACAAAATGTTTATTAACATAAATTTTTACAAAATTTTTTTACAAAATTTCCGTACCTTAACATAAAAATATAAAAATTTAATGATAAAAATTTAATATAAAAATAAATAAATTTTTACTTTTAAGTATATGAGAAATTATATCCATTTAGACGGAAGAGCACA